GAGAAAGATTAATATTTTTAAGCCATTTGCCTGAGCAAACTAAAATGTGTCTGGTTTTATCAATAAAAGGCTTATTTCTGACTTTCTGCCATGGTAAATGGGATCTTTAAAAAGCAGGCAGACGGTAACTGAACGTGCAGGACCAATACCCTCATTTTAATGGCATTTCTCTGGCAGTACAGTGGGCAGAGTCTGCTCAGCCTGGATTCCTGGATGGCAAAGCCTGGCATACGATATTATAGCAAACAGAGAAAAACCAGTGAAAAGAGCATTTTCTGTCCTCCAGCCAATTAATCACTGTTATTATTAACAGAGTAATTTTTTCTTGACAGCTGTGCCTTTCAAAATGACATCAGGGAAAACTGAATCCATTTGCATGACTTCAGCTAGCCAAATGACTGCAGAAAGTTGAAACTAGTTCTGAAAAGAAACCCCAGCAAAGCAGGGGCATCAGTGAACTTGGAATGACAGAACAAACGGGTCTTCTGAGCACTCAGCAAAGTGCACTTATTGCACTGGTTTTACTGGTTTTCCAAAAACGTTTAGATTTCCTTGTTTATTAAATTTGTCGAGAAACAATGAAATCTCAGGCAATTTTATTTTTAAATATCATTTTACTACCCAACAGCAACAGTAAATTCATAAAATAACACGTGATTGAACAGGACTATGGAGTGAAAAAAAAAAAACAACTTGTTTGCTTTGTACATTCTTATTAGTCTTGGCAAAGATGTTATAAAAGCAGTATCTTTTAACACCTTTTATTATACAAGGGTCAAGGGGTTTTTATGTTTCTTAAAGAAAGCTTCAAATAGCCCACATAGCGGGTTACTGCATCTTTCATATGGCTGCTGTATAAACAAGCCCATTTTACACAGGAAATGACATAACCATGTAAAAGTGTACATGGAGTTTAGGCACATATTCAAACACTAATGGGAATGCATTGTTTTCAATGGCATACTTTTATGTTTACCTATTGAGCTTAGTACCCATATTTTAGCCAAATACAACAAAAATTATCCACACATACCTGTCTTACAGTGTACTGTTTATTTGAAATTTGGTCCTTCACAAAGACTCTCGTGGGACAGATAATGACCCTAAAAAGTAAATACAAATGAGGCATTCTCAGTGAGAGAGTGAAACCTGCCATCATAAAGGTGGAAAGCTGAACTTTTAACCTGCATTGCTTTACAGCTCAGGTTTCTTTGCGTTTCTACCATCCAGTTACTAACACCCGTTCACCCATGGGAAGAAAGCCATAACAATAATTTAGGGTGTCTATCTTTGCACATTATATAATGACCAGGCTAAAGAAATAGTGCCAAACTTCTGCAATTTCAAGGTCCTCTGTTTCTTTCCAGTTTCTTTGCTGTGTGTCAGCCCCAGACCATGCCCTAAACCTAAACCTCTTTTCTCAGGGAGGAATGAGGGTAGAGGGAAGTCCACCTGGATTGTGCTTATCAGTGATAACGAATGTTTGTAATGGTCACCACTCTCATATCTTGGGAAGAGACATGTTTCTGTATCTTTCTCACAACAGATACTGAAACTGCAGATTTTCATGTAAAGTCTTGACAATACTTGCAGTGGTTTGTGAGTAGAAATTGAATGGATATTTTAAATTTTAGGTGAATTAAGAAGAACAGAAACTGCTTTGAGAAAAGCAGTAAGTGGTCACTGTCTTCCATGCTGTAAATTTAACTGATCATAACCATTCAGTAAGTATCTTAAAATTAATTGGAGACAGAGATCTGTACCAGATGATCCCAATGGCTCAAACAATATACCACTGAAGCACCTATAAGCTTCATTCATACATTTACACCATGGCAAAAGTCAGTAGACCACTCCAGAGTAAAATCGCATTGAGCTGGAATTGCCGGAGTTACCGCACAAGCTCAGTAATGTAAATGCAAAGGATACTCTGGACATCACAGCCCTGGTTTAGAAACAGTGTCACAAAGCAAGGGTATTCAACTGAGAGTCAAAAGTGGAAAAACTCCCTAATCCCATGCCCACCATTAGAAACTCCTCACTTTGTGCTAGACCAAACTTTAGTAGTGCCATGACCATCCTGTCTGAATGTCACCACCTCTGAGCTACCAACTAAACAAAGTGAATGTCATGTTACCTCCTAACCTGACCGCTTGGGTTGAAATTATTTCTGGTTAGGCCAAACACAATATCTGGCAACTTTGATGCAGTTATAAACTATTGTAATTCTAGCATTTTAGTGTCTGTAGTTTCAAATTTGTTTAAATTGATGTTAAAGACCAACTAGTGTGGGGTTTGTTTTCCTTTTTTCTTCTCCCTTCAAGATGTAACTACTACCTAGCAGAATTTTGCATTTTGAAACATCACCAAAGGATGATTTTTAACACTTCAGAATGTCAGTATTTCTTCTAATTTTTCCTCAGTTCACGTTATTTGCTTTGGGATAATTGCAAAATCTTAGTTTGGGGATTATTTTCCATGTAGATGCTGATACATACTCATTTTAATTAACATTTACCTGAATTTTTATCTTGCTTTATTCATGTATTAAGAAACTCATCCTAGGACAGGAAACAAGAACATCCAAGAGATATTTACTAGGTTTTTAAAACCTTTTATCATGACCAGCCTCACCAGGATCCTCAGGCTGATCCACAGCTCTGCATGTGAAGTGTGTAGCATTTCTCCTTGGGTTTCCAAACCATCATGCATTGTGTGTAACACCAATGCTACCTTCCCCCAAAGCTGCCGCAGGATCTCACGGATCCAGCTGGAACTGAAGCAAACTGCCCTTTGCAGGCAGTTATAATCCCAGGAATTAACTTGTCTGTTAAGACTATTTAGATTTGCTTCAAGTGAACATAAATAGGCAGTATGTGCTATTTTAAACTGATACCTGAGCCACTGAGGAATGTGCCTGTGTGCTGAATAAATGGCCTGGCACAGCTGTGTCTGTCATACGCAAAAGCAAGGGCTTTGCTGGGAATGTGCAAACAGGCACATGTGTGGGGAGCAGCAGTCTTTCATGCAAGGAAGAAAGGAGACAACCCTTGCTCATGGTCGTCTAGCCAACCTCTCTAGAAGGTAGCTGTGGTCTGTGCTAGAGAAAGGATCCTTAAAAGCTGCAAGCCAGTCACCTAGAAAACAAGCAGGAGCAAGAAAAGAAATGCTTGAACAGAATGGGCAAAAAAAGACTCTGAGATGGTCTCCTGGTTGTGGAGTTGTCAGGAGAATGTTTTCTCTCCTGCTGTAGCAATGGTAAATCATATCTGAATAACCTGTGGTAAAACTTAGAGTTAAAAACTCCTTTTTGTTTTGAAAGTCATATGAGGCTGGCTGGTGATAAGCAGTTAGTGCAGGGACAGTAACTCTTGGTCCTGAACTAAGACAAGGAAGAGCAGGACATGCTGACAGTCCTGAAGGGAGATAGAGGGGCCATGAGGTTAGCCTCGAGCCACAAAATACATCCATAAAATACCGTAACGTCTCATGCACATGTTACAAAATAGCTTCAAGTGCATTTTACATGCCTGTTAACTTGCTACTTAGTGATTCACCCTCCTGTTAGGTACAGCATTCTGACCCACATTGTTTTGTCTTACCACGTGGCCTGAACCAAGGAACATCAATTCCTGCAGGTAGAAATCACTGTGCTAACCTATTACAGAGAGATTACAGAAAACTCTCTGCAGTGCTTGTTCAGTGTCACCATGTGGTACCTGACAAGGTCTGCCCACACAGGGGAGCCCCATTTGTCTGGCAGCAAGGCTGCTTAAGCAGGTATTTCAAGCTGGTTAAATGCTCAGCCACCTAGAGAGTGCAGGAGGAAGGGCAGAACTTTTTATCACTCTTTATGGCTGTTGACCAGGAATTTAGGATGGTTTGCTGCTAGTGTGAGCCAGAGCAGGTCCAGTCTGGCGTACTGACCAGGAGGACCCCTGGCCATATCCAGTTCCCTGCCATTACCCCCACCAGTGATGCTGTGCAGATGGGAGTTTGTGTTACTTGATGGTTTAAGCTCTGATGAACAATATGAAACCTTAGATTTATATTTTATACTATTGAGAAGCTACATCAATAATTTCTGATGGTTCTTATGGCCTGTCCACAGTTTAACCTCATTTTGTAGGTGGAAACATACACAGAGCAATCCCACAATAAATTAATAATCCATCTGTAGAATAGATAAAGGGGATAGGCAAACACATGGTCCTTGGAGGGTTGAATAAAAGAATACCAGAGCCTTTTTGTAATCATCTGCATATCTCATTTTTGCCCCAGATATATTGAGTGATAGCATCATTCCCCACCAGGTCAACCATGCCATACTTTCAGACCTTTCTTCCAATGTTTCCACAGTTTCTTTCTGTCAGTGGCAGCAAAATACATGGACATGTTTTGCATACCACTGGTATCCTGCTGCGCTGAAAAGTCCCTTTCACCTGTATTTATTGTACAAAAACATTAAAACCAATTTCTTAATAGCATTATAATTACGCAGAGTTGAACAGCTAGATACAATGTAGCACTGTGTCAATAATTTATTACATCTTACGCCATAATGGAACAATTTTACTATGAGCATTTGAGAACAACTTGGACCTTATACATAGTAATATATAACATAACAATGGAAAGGTGGATACTTAAGAAAGATACGTAGCTTGGAGGAAAATATACATGGAAGTAAATACCTCTGGCATCATCTATCTCCATGTAAAACTTAAAACTAAACATCTCTAATGACTCCTTTTTTATATATGTGTAGTTTCAAGAGCTCAGAAAGAAATAATATTACAGGGTAACTATTTACACCAAGATGGGAGCACACCAGAACACAACCTTTTCTTGCAGACATCAAGACTCTTTTCTTACATTTCTTAATGGACAAAGCATGTGGGACTCAGACATAAATCCAGTCTCAAAAACGTTCAAGGAATCAAACAGGTCATATCCACAGCTCACTGATACCATATGTACTGCTTTTAGTGTCAAGGCAGTCTAGAGGTGTGGAGGTATAATCTTCTCTATCATGGACTTCAGTTAGAGCCAGTCTCATGTTGCCAACACAAGCCTTATGTCAAGCTACATGCCAGCATCCAAACGCTACTGAAATATGTCCATGGTGGAGAGACATATAGAAGCACTGGATTTATTGCTACATCCTTGTAAACATACTTCCCCTAAAGGTATGAAATCTAGTTAACCTTGCTTGAGGAGAGTGTATGTTCAATGTGTCATATTATCTTTCATGACATATCCATGTGAGCAACTGTTCTGCTACCTACAGCCACATGACTCCACTACCATGTCCTCATACTGCTTGTAGACCACGTTGTTTGCAGAGTCAATGAAAAGAATGCTAATAGGACTCAGCCTGGTTGGGACACAGCAAGTCGGGGGAGTCGATTCTGGGTCCATTGAGTTCATTAATGTTTGGATCACTGCATGGTTGGTGGGCTCCAGATGGGATCGAAGGGGAAATTCACAAAGCCCTTCGCAGTGATATGCTTCATACTCTAGCGGGGCTATTATCCAGTCATCCCAGCCCATATCCTTAAAATTCACATGGAGGGCTTTTCTGCTACACCTTGCCTTCAGATTCTTAGTGGGCCTCTTCCCTTGGCGTGTTGCTAGAGGAGCTCTTCTCTTCCGCCTCTGATTGAACAAGTACTCATAAACAGTTTTGTCATCTTGGCCAGATCTAGCTTTGATTTCATTGAAGAATAAGTCTCTTTTTTTTGTCCTCCCAAATACCAAGAAGAGAGCCTTTTCATTGACCTGTCTTCCTGTTCTGTTAAATCCCACACTCCTGAGATCAACAGCTCTCCCCCTGTCAAAAGTTTCCAGTTCAAAACACAAGTTAACAAAGTTTTTAAAGTTCCTGAAAAGTTTCCAGATGTCAAACACTTCCCACTTTGGTGTATCTGTGATACTGACAGTCCGAGAGTCCAGGAGGGTTGCTCCTTGTCTGTTTGTAGAGCAACTGAATAATTTCACTTGGGAAGTTTTTCCAGAAGAATGAGGCTTCCATGTTTCAGAGGGCTTTTTCCTCAATATTCGAAGCTCTGCTCCCAGCAAACCATCTTTTTCTAATGCACTGATGTCAAAAATGTATTTTTGTTTTCTTACAGTTGGCGCTCGCTCGTCTAAAAAAAGCAAAGCACACACGTGTTTAAATGCATATCAAGCATAGATCAGCATCAGTTACTCACTTCTTAATGGTTTTCCTAAAGCTTGCTCATAAGCCTAGAAGTTTCCATTATCAGCCCACCAAACAGAAAGAGCAGTTTTGGTCTAAGGAGTCAGCTTTGTGCAGGGACCCAGAAGAATTCAGTGACTCAAGAGGGAAATGAGTTTCTGAGGTTTTTTAGTAGAAATCTCATTTCTTTCACCATCTTTCCTAGCTTCAAAGTAGCAACTGACCAATTGAAAAATAGTCCTTTTCCAGGGCTGAGCACTCACTGGGCCTATTCACCACTTCCATCCCACTTAAATTACTGGAACAGAGCTTCAGTGGTGCCTAGGCCTCATACTGGTTCCAAGCATGAGCAAATCTACCCTTAGACGATACAATAGTGAATAAGTCCTTTAAACCCAACATCCCCTAGGAACTGCCAGACACAAGGATAACTGCTGTATTAACTTAACTCCACATGATTCACAACTTCTTCAAACTGGGCAGAGAAACACACCTCCCTTTAACCTGACGGTACATTTGCTTGCTCAAGCTCTGGAGCAGCACTAACAAGGAACACAGCTGAGCCAACGTTTTAGTGACGGCGCATTAACAATGCCTTCCATTGGTGAGCCAAGAACCTGAATGCAGTACCTGTGAGAAGTGTATCATCCCTTCCCAGCAAACAAGCTATTCATAACTGAATGGCAAACAAATCCATTCCTGGCTGAGTTTCCATCACCATCCACCTTATCAGCTGTAGCCTGTGTTGCTTCCTTAAATACACGACAAAACTCATACTGGAAGCAACGTGGGGCTCCCCAACCACAGTGGTCAGGTGAACATAATTCTTTGGGAGCCTGGTTATTTCTGGTGTGAAGGCAGACACTAGTCCGAGTTTCAAAAGAAGCTTGAATGTTGAACCCCAATTGTGGAGTCCCAGAAGTTGCAACTCCTGTTAGTCTGTGCTCAGCTGTGGGCTTTGGTGGAGAGAAGGCTGGTGGCACCTGAAAGCATGAGCTTCAAGCTAGTACAGATACACCCACCCTATGCTATAATGACGCCTGTGTAGTGCCTCACAATTCTACCTTGAACAAATCAGGCTGACCCATCAATACTGGAACCTGTGGGTTTTCTTCACAGAGTAGTCCTGTTCTTAGTATATCCTGTGTTTTTAGACATACTTACAATAAATCTAATGTTAGCAGCTTCCAGGAGTTAGTTATGCAGAGTAAATAGGATATAAATGTAAAAGGTTTTTAAACACCTAAGTATGCAAAGATGGATTGGTTTTCAACAATATGCATCTAAAATATTTTCCAAATGTTTTGTTTGGCTGCCACACAAGCCATCGAGCTCTACCTCTAACTGCATTTTCCAAGATAAGGCAGGAGGACAAAATCTGCAGCAAAGTTGTACGATTTCCATTAGAAAGAGCTATCTGACTTTAAAGAAGGATGATTATTTTCTAAAACTCTCCACATGTATAAACACACTCATATTCCTCTCTCTGTATAAACACATACACACGAGCTCCTTTCTTACCTTGTCCTTTGTCAATAAAGCTGGTTATTGTATTGGCAAGTCCAGCCTCCAGTTTTACACTTCCATTAACACCTTTTCTTTCTGCATCTGAGAGAGTCCTGTACAAAGAGAGCATGTATTCATGTGGCGTTATAGGGGGATGTCGGAAAGTTTCCTTGGCTTCCCTCTGGGTTACAGGCTCTTTAGTCTTTTTGGTTTTGAAAGCATCAGTGTCAGTACTGCTTGTGCCAGGTTTTTTCAAAGCCACCTTGCTGCTAAGATTCTGAACCTTTGGAGTCACTGTCCTTACTCCAGCAGGTCTGCTGGGGAGATGTCCTACCTTGCCCTCCGTGGCTGCTGTTCTTGAGAGAACCTTCTTTGATTCATCATTCTTGGCCAGCAGAGCTCCAGCCTGAACAGCACTGCTTTTAGTCCTAGCCTTTGAGGTCCCAGTACTATATCCATGGCTTGCAGTCCTCAGTGAACCTGCCCGTGCTGAGGGATTCCTCTCTTTTCCTTCTGCTTTTAAAAAGCCTAGTTTAGATCCTGGATTACTCTGGCCTATTTCAGAATTACTCAGTGCTCCAGGAACTAGATCCAGAGACAGCCAAGTCAAATGCCAAAGCAGTAAAGTGAGAAAATGCAGGATTTTCATCCTCTGGTCTTCCTCTGAATGCCACTAAAGAAAAAATCAGAAAAGGTTCCTCCAGTTTGGCAGAAGAAAACATGAAAGAAATTAAAAACCAAAGTCAGCAAAAATGGTTTTCGTTTGAGATGAAAACATTTCAAATCCTGTTGTTCAATACTTGTATCCAGTCCCATAGTGGAAGTGCTCATGTATTCAGACACAGTCTCCCCTGATTTCAGTGAGCAGCTATAAAGAACTAGTTCTTGAAAAGAGAAAGTTTACCACCTCGTTTTCTTCTGTAAAACTGACTGAAAACTTGAAGGAGTCCTGTTTAAATCCAAGGGCTTTTTTTTCCAAGAAGGAAGAATGGCGTAATGCTGCCTCTGTGTTAAAAGGTTTTTTTAACATTTTGAATCCTTTCCAGTGAAAATATTTCACACACAGAGACCTGCAGGTGCTCAGAAATCTTTTACAAACCTGAACTCAGGAATTGGAAACGGAATTCCAACAAACCTATTTAATTACTCTCTGATGTCATGCTGTCTGAACTAATTTAACTGCGATATATTTCTTTAAAAAAATCTTCTTTACCCTTTTCATTAGCATGAGTCATACTTTGCCTCATGTGAAACAGCTCCACAGGCTCAACACTCCAGAGGATGCCTTTTCAAGTGGCAATACGACCTCTACCTTAGCCTTCGATGAACTTCACATTTAAACAGGACAAACTGCAAGATCAACAGCTGAGATCTGTCACACAGTCCCCTGGACACATACATTAAAATATTCCAGTATAATTCAGCTTGTTCTTTTTCCAGAGAGCTGGAACAGTGGCTTCACTTTGTCCTCTGGTGACTGAAGGGCTGAGCTGGTAACGCGGCGCTCAGTTAAGTTTAATTTGTCACAAACAGCACACGGCCGTGCCTGCAGTCCGTGTATTTTGGCATATTTATTGCTATGCTTTAAGAGAAAATCCATGTAGGCCCAGCTGGAGGAGGAGGTTGGGGATGCCCGGCGGGATGGGCAGTGAGCATGGGGCGGCAGTGCACCCTGCAGGCAACAGCCTCCACGTCCAGCACCCCAACACAGCCTGTCCTCCAGAGGCTGCTGAACACTGGCCTTTGTTTTAAACTAGGTGTAAAATTGTCAAGAGCTGCCTACCCCACAGCACAAGAGGGCTGGTGGTTGAAGCTGGTGGTACTGAGGTGTCAAGGCTGTCCTGCTGCTTTTGCCATAGAAGAGCGTAGAGCAAGCGGGTCTTTCACAAGCTGCAAATTTGATCTGTTGTTCTCGATGAGCCTTTGGGAAATGAGGCATTGGGCTGGATTGACAGGCATTAATGGGACCCTTCTCTCATCCTGCACTGATGTTTTTATTTCTGAGACAAGAAAAAGGGAAACGACACAAGACTTTTTAGCGTGATTTGTGCACGCTGAAGCATTGCCCAACCTGACTAGTATCAGAAACACCAGATTACTTTCCTAAATAACCTGCAGCCCTTTCTACGTGAGGAGCTCTGAATGCTTTACCTTGTTTTGATGGGGAAACTGAAGGATAGAAGAGTTTGGTGATTTCACATATTTCACAAATAAGGTAGATCCAAAAGCCAGTCCTCCTGATTTTGATCTAATGGTCCTTCCTCTCATGTCAGTTGTAGTTTTGATATTCCCATCAAAATAAAGCATCTTTTCACTGAGTTATAACGACTCCATGCTGTGTCCCTCCCAGACATGCCATCCTTTTATCCTTGCATATTGCCCACCTTCCTGATGGGCAAAAGGCAGTGAGCCATGTCTGGTTCTGCCCTATGGGGGTATTGACTAACTTGGCAGTAGGCCACAAAACCAGCTAAATGTTGAGTTCCCACTTTTCATCTACCCAGCTTCCAGGTTTCACAACACTTTTAAGAATTTAATATCTTTGAGAGCTCCATCACTCTATCGGACTTGGTTCACACAGCCCACTTGTCCTTCTTGGCCCATTCTGTAAATGCAGCTCCTCACACAGTGTGCGTAGGGATTTGAAAGGGAAGGACTACCTGGGTCCCTGCTCCTTGGGAGTGCATTGCACTCTGTTCTCCAGATCCTAAGATTATGCCTACAGGAGCTGTGGCACTTTCCAAACAGACAATTGCAGGGAGTCCTGAACCCTGGTTTGTGTGGAAAACATTTTCCCTTGCACGTAGCTGCAAGCTGATGCAAGGTGATGAAGGATTTGCCAGATCATTGTTAAGTGTGACTTTCTGCAGTTCTAGTTTGTATCTTGTGTTTCTCTCTTGACTATGAAAACTGTCTAGATAATCGTCCCAAATACAGTGGAAGGCTAAACTGAGATGCATTCAGCTTCATGTATTTTAACATAGCTGAAGGATCGTTAAAAATCTAGGCAAAAGCCAAAATACTGAGGACTGGGGATAGCATCTTGTGAAGCAGTGATTGCAAAACAGGGGATAGGGAATGAGGTCTGAAAACCTGCTTTGTATGAAATGGCTGACTGACCTCCAGCTTATTGATCAGAAGATGAGGAGGGAGGTTTATTTAGAGCTATAAATTCCTGTCAAATGAGACAAAACCTAAAATCTATAAACATGATGCCCTTCCACATATAGCACTGCTGCTGGGTGAGTGCCCCATTTTACGCTGCCTCAACTTTTCCTAACTTCCTGAAGTACTGCTCCATAAGATCTCCAAGTGTCTGCTTCCGTCTTAAGCACCATGTCAGACTCGATCTCCAGAGGGAATTACTGTCAGGGTCCCAGCAAGCGGCTGGGTGGCTCCACCACCTACTGGAATTTGATCTCCTGGTCTCTCTCCTCCAGCTCTTTGCTGACCTTGCCAACACAAGTTCCCAGCAGTTCTCACTGCTTTTCCAGGTCTTGTGTCTTTTTTCCTGGGATGCCATCTTCTGGTTTTCTCTGTTAAATCCCTTAATAACCTGACTGAGAGTAGTTTCACGCATTTCTGTTTGCTTTTCCAGCATTCTCATCTGTTCCCAGTACAACTTCATTTGTCCCTCCTACTCTGACAGGGTGGCAGTCACGAGTGAGAGACTTTTGCCTGTACTGCCTCTTTCTGCAGCATCTGCATTTTCTCCCTCTGCATTTCCACTTCCTCATTTTTAATTTTTAAGGCAGACAGTGTTGTTTGCAGCTCTTGCTCGAGGCAGTATTCCTGCCTGTTGCTGTATTTGCGGGGGTTTCAGAGGCTGTCACTGATTCCTGAAGAAGATTTTTCTCCCATGCCAGTGTTTGTTTAACTGCTTGCAGCCTGTCCTGTTCATGCTGCAAACCAGAAGAGAGGAAAAGGTTCAATAATTCCATCTATATGTGCTTGCTTTCCGTACTAGATTTGAGCTCCTACTCATGTGGCAGTCATAGGCAGAAGTTTGAGCTCCTAGTGGGAAATGCAAGCTATTCTGTTGGTTTTGCTGTTGAATGCCTGTTTTCTGCTGTCAGTCCAAAAAAGAAGCGAGAACTGCACTGTACTTATCAAACTGTCCATAAGTGAGTTTTGGAGTCCCTGTAAATGGAGAAGTGGGAAAACACTGGTCATGTGAGGGCAGCTGCATGGCTTACATGTGTGGGCTAGTGTCCTGTATGTAAGAGTGCCTGTGAGAGCACAGCGAGAGAAGAAAGCCTGAGAGGGGTAGGCTTGCATGATCCCTCCCCAGGCTCAGGATCCCCAGGATCCCTCCCTTTTCCAGCTGGTGAGAACTTCCAGCGCCTCCTCCTGACCCCATCTAAACCTGCTGTATTTACAACAGCCTCTGTCAGGGAGTTCAACAGGTCTGCTCTGCTGTGAGCATACCACCTGCTGGCACCTGCTTGCAGCACAGCTCTCGGTTCATCAGGCACCTCTTGGTCATGTCTAACCAGGATGCATGCAGGCCGTGGCCCAGCTGTGACTGAAGCTACCACAAACTCCTAGTCATCTCCCAGTAAAATGGGTGGCATTTGAGTGAGTGAATCCCCCTACAGACTAGTCTGGGCAAAGTCGACGGCGAAGGTGAGAGCGGGGGGCAGCCCAGGCACAGCTGCTGGCCCCGCCGCTGCCGCCTGTGGAGCCGCTCGCTCCGCCTGTCCCGCACCTCCGCGCACACGCGGGGCTGCGAGCGCCGTCGTGCGGTACCGAGCAGGGGCTGGAAGCGCGGGAGGGGTCGAGCGGCGGCGAGGAGGGACCTGTGCAGGGGGGGGAAATGGGCAGTGCTGGGGCGTGGGGAAAAGCTGCTGCAGAAGGAGCCGTGTCTGGTACAAGCTCCCCCCCACTCCATGTACCTATCCAGGTACTGAAGTACTGGAAGCAGTGCGAAGCGTTAGAGAAGCAGCTGGAAGTACGAGGGGTGAGCGTGCGGGCTGCCAACTAAAGACAGCAGGCCAGAAAAATCCCATCAAGGATCTTAGAATCCCAGAGCGTTTTGGGTTAGAAGGGACCTTAAAGCTCCTCCAGTTCCAACCCCTGCCACGAGCAGGGACACCTTCCACTAGAGCAGCTTGCTCCAAGCCCTGTCCAAGCTTCTCTGGGCGACCTGCGTCAGGGCCTCACCATGGTCACAGGGTAGAACTTCTTCCTAATGTCTAATCTAAATCTGCTCTCTGTCAGCGTGAAAGCGTGCTTTATTGCTGAAGCAGTAAAGCTTGACCCAGGTCTCAGGACAGGGCTACACTGCCTGTTCCGTTCTGTGGTTGTCTTTGGAGAAGAATGAGCTGGTTTCTTTCTAGCCTTCCCATTCTTGGTCTTGCACTGCCTTGCCAGTCTCATCAACTCTGTGCTCTGCTGTTTTTTCTCCTTGACCTCCACCACATCATCAGACCTTTGGCCTTCTCTCTGCTTGCTTCTTCTCGCACGTATCTGGAGCCATCTTCCCTGCTCACTGCAGTGAAGAATGGCTCTAGATTGCTTGTTTATGCTCCTTCCCTGCCTATCGCTTGCAGGCCCTAGGAGAAAAGCTTTATGCCAAGGACACCATCAGCATGCTGCAGCACAAGTGCAGACAGCAGGAAGAGGAGTGCAAGAGGCTGCATCAAAGACTTGAGCAATTGGAGGAGGAATGCAGGTCATCCAGGGAGCAGCAGCACCTGCAGGCTCTGACAGATGCACCCAGAAGGTGAGTGTTTCCTCCTCCTCCTGTGTTCTAGAAGCAATCTGCTTCCAATTCTAAGAGTTCAGAGGTGTTATGGGCAAAGAAATCACCTGCCCTACCTCGTGTATGCCTGTTTGGCACTTTAGCATCCCTCTGTCACAGCTTTTCATGCTCTACTGTGAATGCTGAGGCAGGACCAGGAGATTCAGCGTGCTGTTGGAATACAAGAGGCCTCCCTCTCGACATGCTGATTCTCGGAGTGCTTGTTCTTTAGGTGCCCTTTCCTAGCCACTGCTTCTCAGTGAATGAAGGCAAATGCCTGCCTTCCTTACATCTTCCCTCTTCAGTTATCTTGTGAGGGGAAGAGGAAGTTTTTCCTTACTGTGCTGCCCACAGCTCCATCCTGGCATGATGAAAATGGGATTCGTGACTGTTCAGGCCTCTTCATTCTTCTGACTAAGCCTTGTCTCTGCCGTGACTGTGCCAAGCTTAGGAAAATCAAGGAGGACCTACAGCAAAACCTTCTAATAACGGAACAGGCTCAGCTGCTAATGCCTCAGTTAGCTTGAAACTTTCCCTTTCCTTAGCCAGCTGAGCTGGTTTCTTTCTAGCTTTGCCATTCGTGTTCGCTGCCTTGCCAGTCTCCCCAGCTGTGTGCTCTGCTGCTTTTTCTCTTTCTCTGCTGACTAAGCCTTGTCTCTGCAGTGACTGTGCCAAGCTTAGGAAAATCAAGGAGGACCTACAGCAAAATTTAACACAGAAGCAAGAAACCTGCAGTCTGCCTCAGCATGAGACTGAACTGCAGCTGAAGGAAAAGGTGGAGCAGCAGCAGGCACTGGAGAGAGTGCATCGTGACCATGGGCACCTGTGAGTTTTAAAGCTTTCTCTGGGCAGGGCTGAGCACTGCTGGGCTTAAGGAGGCCCACCATAAAGATAACAACTTTGGCACGCTTATCATGAGTAGCATAGAAAGGTGAAGGGAGCACCTGGGCAGGTCTGGCTCCCTACTGACACACAGCACAGCTCCTGGCAAAGAGTGCTGCAGCTCTAATCAGAAAATTCCCACATTCTTTAAGTGTACATAGAAAGCTGTTGGAAATCATTCCAACTGCCGTATCTTTGACATAGCTTGTATCTTAGTTTTAGAAAGGAGAACGTTTTCACAGGAAAAACTTAATTGGAGAAATTGCTCCTTCACAGGAATCAGCTGATGCAGGACGATCATGAGCTTACGGAGGCACTGAAGAAGGTACAGTCACCTTATGGGAGAGGGAGATGTGACAGCCAGATCATCCCAGGTGCTGTTTCTGGCAGCTGAAGGCAGGGAAAATGTTCTTCTCCTTGAAAAATGGTGGTCAGAGCACACAGGCTCTTTGGGTAGTTGATCCCCACCACGTTGCGATTGGGAGAGCTGAACTGGGAGCACGTCAGAGACACACAGGGGATGCGGAGCTGCTCCTTGAAGTCGAGGATTTTCCTGTCCAAGCCAGACCTCCTACAGAGGATACAAGTCCCAGAGCTCTCTGGGTGGGCATTTGGCTGCTTGGCTCAGTGAAGCTGCATCTGATGGATTCTGCCGTGGTTTTGTCAAGGAGACGCTTGGTAGTGCTGGAGGTCGCAAGGCTTTGGTTACTTCTTGGAAACGTGTTGATGGCTTGCAGAGCCGTTGTGCACTTCTCTCAGTTGTCTTCTGCTTCTGTGGATTCTTTTAACCTGCCTGTCTGTGTTGACCTCTGTTTTGGATTTTGATTAGCTGCAAAGAGGTGAGTGTGTTGTCCATGAATCTGAGTGGGGCTACTACTCTCCCGTGTGGCAAAAGAAACAAACTGTGTAGCTCTGAATTCCCACAAGAACTGAAGCCCCTCTGAAGGCCCACAAGGGCTGTTTCCCTGCCAAGTTGTTTCCTTCGTTGCATCCAACTGCTTTACACTCTGAAGGAAGTGACACTTTGATGTTGTTTTCTTTTCTAGAAGTAGAATTTGTGTGTCATTTTATTTTCTTCAGCGAGCAAAGTTGCTTTTGCTCAACCTTTCTATGTGTTTGTCCTGAAGGAGCTGTCTGGTCCCAGGCAACCCAGTATGGCTTTACCCATCACTTTCACATTAATGGTGCCAGTGCCTTTTGCCAGCCCAGGGTATTAGAGCACTACTCAGCAGAGGCCCTGAAACTTTCAGCCCCCAGTACAGGAGTTATTACTCAGCGCGCTGCTTCAGAAGTTGCACCGCTGCCTCTGCACACAACTGTATTTTGCTCTGTTTTCAGGTTTCCCACCAGCAAGATTCGACCAAGCTTGATCTGGAGCAGCTGCCCCAAGAGTCCTCTGGCCAAGTGCACACTCTGGCCAGGATGTCCAGCAAGAAGGAATTGCTGGTGCGCAAGGTGGCTGCCCTAGAGGTGCAACTGCCAGCCTTGGAGCAGGACAGACAAGGCCTTTCAGAGCAGCTGACACAGGCCAGGTAAAGGCAGGGAGGAGACCCTAGGCAGGATGGTACTGAAGGTCTGTAATTACAGAGGTGGGAATCGTTACTTGAGGATTTATTGCATCCTGTGAGCTTTTCAGATATTTTCACCTTCCATGGACAGAAAATGGAAGAATCTTGAGAAAAAAAAAAAAACATAAGCAAGGAGTACACTGTGATTTGAACATTATTTTTCTGACAGCTACAGCTCACAAAAGTCTCCTGAGCCTTCGGCTCATGTTTATGCCCCCTTGCACATTCCTGTGTGAAGTCCAAAGCAAGCCAATATAATTCTTCAGTATCTGGTACCTTGGCTCTGCATTGAGTAATAACTCATCCATAGAGATCTTTACTGAAACCAGAAGCTTCTTTCTGGTTTTGGTTTCTTGGTTTGTGTGTTTGAACATAGACCTCTCCTTAGTAAGTTGTTCGACACAGGATGTTCAGAATTCAGGTCTAGAGGCTCATGCTGAAAATCTGGAGGGCACTTCTTACTGGAGTGACTTCCTGTGGGTGTCAGGAGCAAGAAACTCATTTCTCTCTGTATTCACAACTTGAAGGTCAGTGAACGAGACCCTGGAGAACAGCCTATCTGAGGCTCAGCGGCACATATTGCAGTTGGAGATCACCAGGAGCCAGCTGGAAATCCAACTTCAAACAGTCACACAGGCCAATGAACTGATACAAGGTGAGAGCCTCATGTGCTTTGCTTCCCATGACCCCCATGACCAGCGGGCTTTCTGCAGTGCTTCTAAGTGAAGGAGCTGGAAAGAGTTCCCTCCTCCACTGACCTTCAAATGGCTTTAGGTTAGTAATGCCAGAACCCCTTGTGTAGACTCTGAATCCTCCCATTTGTTGTGTTTGCAGGGGAAGTGAAGTGCCTTAGATGGAAGCTGGAAGCTGAGAGATATCTCATGCAGCAGGAAAGGAAGACCATGGCAGAACAGCTCTCGCAGGCAGAACAGCAGCATGACGAGACTCTCAAGCTTCTGGAAACTGATCACGAAGTGGAAGTAAACAAGCTCCTGCAAGCCCTGGTAGGAAACAATATGCTTCTGACTTCTTCAAGCAAGCTTTGTGGCTTGGCTTTAGAAGAGTAATAGCCTGAGCGTGAGAACTGGCAGCAGGCCCCTCTCATAGGCCACATCTTGCTAGGCCAGGCAGCAGAGCCAATGGCTTGTACTTGAAGGCACATGAAAAGTCATAGGACTATGCTGGAACAGTAAATGCAGCCACAGATTCAGTTCAACAAAAGGCTGGGTGGTCCCCAAGGCATGGTACCAAAGAGGTGGGATCTTACCAGACTCCTGCCTACCATGAAGAAGACTCCTAACAGTGCTGGGGACTGCAGCCAAGCAAACTTTGTTCCTTCCTTTCGTTCTTTCATGGCTGATAGAGGAAGTATCCTTGGGCTTGAAGGATATGGAACAGTCCCCAGAGTAAGCTGGGACAGAATGAGAAGGGTGGCACAGGAAAGGTCTGCAGGATCCCGAGAGGCAGGGAGAGAGCAGGCAGCCCCTGACTGCCACCGGAGCAGGAGTTGAAATCTCGTATGAAAACCAAACACATACAGATGGAATTATTGAACCTTTTTCTCCCTGTTTTACAGCATGAACGGGACAGGCTGCAAGCAGCGAAGGCAAAAGCTTTGCAGGAGACTCTCACTTACATGATCACCATGCTGTCAGAGAGGGAGGGAGAAACGTTGTGCCAAGAACAGACAAGAACGCCGGAAAAGCAGAGAGAAATGCATGAAACTGCTCCCAGCCAGGTTATTAATGACGTAACGGATCAAAACCCGGAGTCACTACAAAAGCAAAACCAGGAAGCCGGAGAGGCCACGGAAATGCTGTTAAGGGCTCTCCGTGCGCATGTGGAACAGACCTTAGAAACCTTAAAAGAAAAGGACAGACTCCTAGCCATCCAAAGGCAACAAACAAGGAGCTATGAGGAGAAAACAGAAGAACAGATGAATGTCTTGCGCAAAGACTTAGAATACGCTAAGGCAGAACTGAAAGAAAAGGATTTTGTGATCGAATCTCAGAAGGAAGTGATTGAGACCTTCCAAAACCAAGAAAAAGACTCTGAACAGCACAAGAAAATTCTGCTTGAAGTGGCAGTTGAAGTGGCACTAAAGGAAAGAGATCAAGAAACTGTATCCCTTAGAAAGCAATGTGAGGCATGCAAGGAAAAGGAGAAGCAGCACGGAGCTGAGCAAGAAAAACTGCAAGCAACAGAACGGACTCTGAAAAAGAGAGAAAAGAAGATAAGGGCTCTGGAGGAGACTGTCTTGAAGCTTCAACAGCAAAAGAACGAGGCAGTGGTGATGATTAAAACCATACAGCAAAAACTACAACACACGGAGTCTTCTCTAGGCACCCGAGAGAAGGAGATAATGTCTTTACAAAGACATGTACAGGACCTTCAAAAGCAGAAGGAGTTAGCAGGCAAACAGGCCAGGACTCTAGAGCAGAATCTTGAGAAAATGAGACAAAGACTGAAGGAGAACAATTTGAAGTTCCTCAAGCAGACAGAGGAAAGCAACATGTCATCGCTGTGTGGTGATCTGCTTGAGAAAGTAGTGAAGAAGAGAGACACAGACAGGTTTCATCACCAGGTAGGCACTGTGACCGCTCATCAGTCAAGTAAAACATCTATAAAGGATTCTAATGATGTTTCCCGTCAAGAAACTTGAAGGCACATGAAAAGTCACAGGACTATGCTGGGACAGTAAATGCAGCCACAGATTCAGTTCAACAAAGGTTTGGATGGTCCCATCAAACTATGACCTGCTTGGCCAAAAGAGGCCACGACTGCAGCTAGCAGGCTTGCCTGTCTGCATAGCTCCGGCCAGAGCCCATTCACTTGCTAGAATGGTTTCTGTCAAGCCCACAGGTACTGAAAGAACTACAGAGCTTGTTGTTCAAATGAACTCAAGTCCAAAAGTTGGGGGTGGGTACTTGGCCCTCTCCTGTCTAAGCAACCTTGGGCAACATGTTGTGGTTAGGACTTGGCATGTGCCAAAAATGGTTGAAAGAAAATGCGTGTGGATTTCTCCAAGGTGATGTGGAGGAGGGCCCCTGGGAAGAGATTTTGTTGTGTTGGGCTGGAGGGGAAGAAGGGACTTAGCACGTTCTAACCTTTGTGTGGCACCAGCTCACGTAACCTCCTCTCTGAATACCCAGCAGGCTATTGCAGAAGGAGTGCAGCAATCGTGGCTCTTGGAGAAGAAGCTCCTGTTGCAACAGCTGGAAAGTTTGCAGCAAGAAGTTGCAAGGCTGAAACTTGCCAACACTGAGCTGAAGGAATTCAATGCTGAACTCAAGAAGTCTCTTGAGGAGGTGAAACAGGCTTTCCCTGCCCACGCTAAGCCTCACAGTCTTCTGGAGCACCACACGTCTCCACAGGCAGCAGTTTGGGGTCCTCTGCTTGTTCCCTTCCCTATCCCGCTCTCCCCTCGGACACACCCTTTTGTGTTTTCCTTCTCTTCTGGCACCTCATTTGCCTTCACAAATGCACATTAACTCCAGTACCACCCTTCTTACCCTGCTGTCCCTATACACACATACTGGACTCTCAGGAGTCCAGTGTCAGGAAGTGTTTCATCTTGCTCTTTCTTGTCCGTAGTCTACACTGAGTGCTTTTTGACCCCAACATTTTCGCCCGAGAGGCCCTTTCGCTCGTTGTTTGGTGGCAGGTTTCTGTGACCCATTCTCCTAGAAACGTGCAGGTGGAATGTCAATGGAGGAAACTGATGAGGCTCCACTGTGATCAGTCTCTTCCAGGTGCAAGTGGATCTTCCTTCTCCAAGCCTCACCACACAAGATGCCTGCTTCTAGGTGAGAACAGAGGCTTAGTTGGTGGGAGGAGGCTCTGACACATCCCAGGGGCAGCAGCCCCCCAGTACAGACCTACTAGAAGTTGAATACAGACCTAGTATAAGTCAAATATAGACCATGGTCCTGGCCAAACTGGAGACCAAAAAGAAATCCTTGTGTTTTCTTTACAGGAGGAGTCCTATGCACGCTGCAGGCATCAATGACCTGACTTGCAGAACCAGGGGAGGAGCCAGAAAGCTCTCACTTCCTGAGCAGCTGTAGCACCACATGGTTCCTGTCCTCTATCCTTCCCAGAATCGTCTTCTTTTACTGCTGTGGGACAGAGGGGTGGATTTGTTCTCTTGACATTTAGAAGTAGTTTACATGTGGGCAGGGACTCCTGACTTTCCTTTTTTATTTCTTAATAGAAGACATTCTGCAGTCATTCAGTATGGAGAAGCAAGTGGTTTTCCTTCCTGCCCTTTTTTATAGAGGGGTGTCTCGCTGGCCAGTCTCCAGTCCTTTGGGACCTGCCCACTGGACCAGGACTGCTGACAGATGATGGAGAGTGGCTTGGCAAGCTCCTCTGCCAGCTCCCGTGGGTACTCCTGACCCACAGATTTGTGTACATCTAAGAGGAGCAGGAGGTCGCTAACCATTTCTTCCTGCGTTATGGGGACTCCAGTCAGCTCTTCATCACTGCCATCCGGCTCAGGGAAGCGAGTACCCTGAGGATGGCTGCTGTGACTATTAAGCCTGAGGCAAAGGCAGCATTAACCACCACAGCCTTTCTGCCATCCTCAGTCACTAGGTTGCCCCTAGTATCCAACAGAGAATGGAGGTTCTCCTTGGCCCTCCTTCCATTGCTAATATATCTGTAAAAGTACTTTTCATTAGCTTTTATGGCAGTGGCCAGATTTAGTTTCCATCTGTGCCTTTCTACTTTTCTCCCTACAGACCTAACAACATCCCTGTACTTCTCCTGGGGTGACAGTCCCTTCTTCCACAGGGGATAAAGCCTCTTCTTCCCTGAGTTCCAGCAACATCTCCCTGTTGAGCCAGGCTTGTTTCTTCCCCGCTGGTTGATTTGTGGCACATAGGGACCGCCTGCTCCTATGCCTTGAGGCTTTAAGTCTTGAAGAGCATCCAGCCTTCCTGAACCCCTTTGTCCTTCAGTAATGTTTCCCAAGGTATTCTGTCAGCCAGCGCCCTGAACAGGCTGTAGTTGTTTAAACCCTAGCCAGACAGCTTGTTCACTCACTCCAAGTGAGTGGTGCTGGGGTGGAAGCAAGTGAGGCCCCCCGCTGCCCAACCCCCCCACCCCCCCTACCCGGGGCTCTCCCCTTCCCCACTCCCGGAGGAACGGGGAGGAGGATCAAAAGAGTGCAACTCCCACGGGTTGAGACAAGAACAGTCCAGCAACCCATGTACAACACAAATCACCACCGCTACCACCACCGACAGCAATGGTAAGAGAAAATAACAAGGGAAGAGAATACAATACCACCCGCTGAGAAATGAGCCCCACCCAGAAGACCCCGTGTCCTTCCGGGTAACTCCCAGTTACCCCCGCCCTGGGCGTGACGTGCTGCGATATGGAATACGTCTTTGGCTAGTCTGGGTCAGGCGTCCCATCTCTGCTTCCTCCCGCCTTCCCCTCCTCCCTGGCAGAGCATGAGCCTCACAAAGTCCTTGGTCAGGGTAAACTTCACTTAGCAACAACCAAAAACATCGGTATTATCAGCACTGTTCCCAGGCTGGAAGTCAAAACACAGCACTGCACCAGCTACCAAGAAGGAGAAAAATGACTGCTACTGTTGAACCCAGGACATTATCCACCCCTTATTCCATACCATTCTCGTCATGCTCAGATCCCACATTTTCAATATACCATCGCTCTCCCAGGTGTATATACATCTCTCGTGGTTTAAACCCAGTCAGGTAACTTGTTCACTCACTCCGCCCTTCTTTCCCTCCCCCTACTCCTGGAGGGACGGAGAGGAAAATCGAAAAGAATGCAACTCCCACGGGTTGAGATAAAAACAGTAACTAAGGTATAACACAGATCACTACTGCTACTACCAATAATAACAATGATAAAGGAAATAACAAGGGAAGAGTATACGTCACCTCACCACCAGCCAACCGGTAACTCACCCCCCCAGCCCGATCAAGCACCGACCCATACCTCCTCCAACCCCGCAGTCTCAGCCCTTCCGGCTAACTCCCAGTTACATCCTGGGCATGACGTGCTGCGGTATGGAATACCTCTTTGGCTAGCTTGGGTCAGGCGTCCCGTCTCTGCTTCCTCCCGCCTTCCCCTCCTCCCTGGCAGAGTATGAGGCTCACAAAGTCCTTGGCCAAACCAAAACATCGTTGTTATCAGCTCTGTTCCCAGGCTGGAAGTCAAAACACTGCACTGCACCAGCTACCAAGGAGAAAAATGACTGCTACTGCTGAACCCAGGACAACATACATATACACACAGACCAAGAGAAAGAGATCTTTTTCTTAGTGCATGGACGAATCCCTATAATGCTGCCGAGTCCATTCGGTCCATGATGTCAGGTTCCATCTCTTGTAACAATCTTTCAGGGCAGGAAAGGCTGTGTGCAGTATTGGATCGTTGCCTGCTGATGCTGGTCGTTCCTTTACTGCAGAACTCATCAGGTTCTATCAAAGTTCATTCTCTGTTGGGATGATGGTTGGAGGGAAGTCAGGGCCAGTCGCTGGTGACCTGAAGACATCTAGTTGATGGGCTACAGAAGTATTACACAGCGGGCAACAGCATACAATTAAGTTCATTGGCTGTTTTCCCCTAAATCAAATCCCCTTGAGGTATACATCGGACTTTCCCATCTTCCTGCATTACCCACCAAGTATATCCAGGTCCCTGAGCAAAAGCAACCCCACGAGTGGGTTTGCCTTTACCTGAAGCGGGAATAACCCAGACTGTCTTCCCCAGCAAATTCTTCATATGCACCACGGGAACTTTGTCCCCCTCTACAATATGTAAAAGTTCTGACTGGGCTGGGCCAGCCCTGTTGACAGATCCTCTGGTGTTGACCAACCAGGTGGCCTTTGGTAAGTGTGTATCCCAATACTTGGAAGTTCCCCCACCCATTGCTCTCAGTGTAGTTTTTAACAGCCCATTGTACCCTTCGATTTTCCCGGAAGCTAGTGCATGGTAGGGGATGTGATATACCCACTCCATGCCATGCTCTTTGGCCCAAAGATCTAGAAGGTTATTCCGGAAATGAGTCCCATTGTCTGACTCAATTCTCTCTGGGGTGCCGTGTCGCCACAAAATCTGTTTCTCAAGGCCCAGGATGGTGTTCCGAGCAGTGGCATGGGGCACAGCGTATGTTTCCAGCCATCGGGTGGTTGCTTCCACCACGGTAAGCACATGGCGCTTGCCTTGGCGGGTTGGTGGCAGTGTGATACAGTCAATCTGCCAGGCCTCCCCGTGTTTATACTTCAACCATCGTCCTCCATACCAAAGAGGCTTTAACCGTTTGGCTTGTTTAATTGCAGCACATGTTTCATGCTCACGAATAACCTGGGCAATAGTGTCCATTGTTAAGTCCACCCCTCGGTCACGGGCCCATCTATATGTTGCATCTCTGCCCTGATGGCCTGAAGTGTCATGGGCGCACCGGGCCAAAAATAATTCACCTTTATGTTGCCAATCTAAGTCCATCTGAGCCACTTCAATCTTGGCTGCTTTATCCACTTGTTGGTTGTTCTGGTGTTCCTCAGTGGCCCGACTCTTGGGTACATGGGCATCTACATGACGTACCTTCACCACCAGGTTCTGCACCCTGGCAGCAATATCTTTCCACAGTGCAGCAGCCCAGATGGGTTTACCTCTACCTCTGTGTTGCCAGTTGCTCTGCTTCCATTGCTTCAACCACCCCCACAGGGCATTTGCCACCATCCATGAATCAGTATTGTGACGAGTGATTACCGATCTGGTCAGATCTGTCGTTATCTCAACCCCTCGTGCCCCACGTTGGGCACCAAAAAAAACTGTCGTGGTTTAAACCCTAGCCAGACAGCTTGTTCACTCACTCCCAGTGAGTGGTGCTGGGCTGAGAGCAATCAAGCGCCCGCCCCCCCAGGGCTATCCCCTTCCCCGCTCCCGGAGGAACGGGGAGGAGGATCAAAAGAGTGCAACTCCCACGGGTTGAGACAAGAACAGTCCAGCAACCCATGTACAACACAAATCACCACCGCTACCACCACCGACAACAATGGTAAGAGAAAATAACAAGGGAAGAGAATACAATACCACCCGCTGAGAAACGAGTCCCACCCAGAAGACCCCGTGTCCTTCCGGGTAACTCCCAGTTACCCCCACCCTGGGCGTGACGTGCTGCGGTATGGAATACCTCTTTGGCTAGTCTGGGTCAGGCGTCCCATCTCTGCTTCCTCCCGCCTTCCCCTCGTCCCTGGCAGAGCATGAGCCTCACAAAGTCCTTGGTCAGGGTAAACATCACTTAGCAACAACCAAAAACATCGGTATTATGAGCTCTGTTCCCAGGCTGGAAGTCAAAACACAGCACTGCACCAGCTACCAGGAAGGAGAAAAATGACTGCTACTGCTGAACCCAGGACACAGGCCAAGGTCATCCCTCTGGGAGTGTAAGGTGGGGGGTTTGGAATTTTCTCATGATTTTTAATATGAGACGTTCTGCGCTTGCTCAGCTGGCAGAAGCAAGCAGTAGGTAAATACGTGGCTTGGGGAAAGACTGTGCTAGATTTTTGCTTGCACAAGTAAGCTGTGGGGGGTGGAATGTATCGAAACTGTCAGAGGCCATGGGAAGGAGGAACTACAGTAGGCAATTAAGAGTGACCGGTCCCTGACTGGTACTTGGAAGATGTTGGAACTGGCAAGGAACAAGGACGTTGGAACTGGAAAGAGGATGTCGGTAAGAAAATCAGACAGGCCTTTCACCTGATGTAACCACAAGGCAAAGACAGATGTGCTTGGCTGATTGCTTGGAAGTATATAAATATCCTGTAATCTTTGCAATAAACGATGCAGCTTGCGCTCTACCTCGGGGTCCGTGCCTCCATCCTCACAGTAAACCACTGCGAGCTGCTGCACGCTTTAGCCTCTGGAGTTCCCAGCCATTCCCTTGAGGAAGCAGGGAAATGGAAGCGTTATCAAAATGAGGCCGGGAACGCACACCCGGCAGCGATGGAAAGTGCGGCAAGAAAGTGGGGCTCTTCCTTCCCTCCCTCCCTCGCAGCTCCAGCACAGGGCGCGCTGATGCTCTCCCGAGGGCATGTGCTTCAGCTCTGTGGCTGCTCGGATGTTCTCCAAGGGGCGTTAGGAACGAGCCCCGCAGCCTCCAGAGGCGGCGGCGATGGACGGCTGATGGGCAGGAGGGTGTCGCGTGAAAGCCGCCGGGCCTCGGCCTCGGGCCCTGTCCCGCTGTCTCTCGGGTGCCCCTCAGACGCTCGGGCCCGTTGGCAGCAGAGGCAAGAGCGGACGAGGCGGCAGCGAAACCCAGCCCTTCCCTTCCCTTCCCTCCCCTCCCCGGAGCATCCGGGAACACCCTGCCCATCCCCGCCTGCTCCAGGCCGCGCTGCCCGTCGGGGCGGAGCCGGGGCAGGGGCGGCCCCGGCCCGGAAGGCGAGTTTGTTTCCGGGCCGCGCCATGGAGTCGTTGTGGCGGCTGAAGCGGTTCGATGCCTTCCCGAAGACCCTGGAAGACTTTCGGGTGAAGACGTGTGGCGGCGCGCTGGGTGAGCGGTGGGGGACCGGTGAGCGGCGGGCCTGGGCCGAGGCGGGCGGCCCGTAGGGTGCTTGCGGGCCGCGTCGGGGCTGACGGCGGTTCTCGTCTCGCCGGCAGTGACGGTGGTCAGCGGGCTCATCATGGTGGTGCTGTTCTTCTCGGAGCTGCAGTACTACCTCACGAAGGAGGTGAGTAGCGGCGGTGGGGGGCGGGTCTCCCGGCGGGGCTGCCCCGTACCCGCGGAGAGGCCGCCCTGCGGCTGCCGTTCCCCGCCGCCTCCTGCGGGCCTGCCTGGCCGCACCTTCACCCACCGGGGGTTTCGCGTCTTCCCTCCCTCCCTCCCTTCCCGAGAGCCGCTGTCGCAGAGGTTGTCTTGTGGCCTCCTCTGATCAATGTCTCAAAGCCTCTCCCGCTGCTTGCGCCGGCCACAGGCAGTGCAAAGAGAGCGAGCAGGACCCACCGTGCCCCCCCCCAGCGCTGAGGTTCCCAAAGCAGGAGCTGTTGCAAGAGTCTCTGCAGTGGCAAGCGCTTGGTTGGTGCAGGAGGCAGCAGCTCGCGTGTCTCCCAAATCCCACCTCTTAAACATCAGCTCCTGGGCCAGAGCGGTGGAGGGAAAGAGGCCCTTTGATTTGCTGCCAAGTGGAACAGGGCTCTGTGTTTTTCCTTTGCTCCTAGGTTCATCCAGAATTGTACGTGGACAAATCGAGGGGAGATAAACTGAAGATCAATCTCGATGTTATTTTTCCACATATGCCCTGTGCTTGTGAGTCAGACTTCTGAGTAGTGGGGATGATTTTGCTCCTTGCCTGGAGGTCCATTGTGCCTGGTACTTCAGAGCACTGTGCTGCTGCTTGGGCAGGGAGAAGCTGGTGATCCCTGTGGTTGCACCGTTATTCCAGCCAGGCGGGACACTTAAAGCAGTACTTACAGTGAGGCAGTTCTATTTGTCTGGTTTATAAATGAGGATAACATGCACAAATCCCCTTTACACTTGTGTATGGTGTTGTAGTTGGTCACAGAGATTAGTCATACTGAAAAAGCTGTGGCAGAGTTCACTTGGGACTCGGGATGTGGCTGCGGTGATGTTGGAAGCCTCAAGAGCCTCCTTTGGGAGTTACTTAAGGAGGCAAAACTTTTCTGTGATTTTTGTGCTTCTCTTCTGGCTGTAATGCCCTGCTGCTTGTTCTCTTGTAGCAATTCCTTTGGGCAGTGCACTGGGCTTGATGTAGCGAGTCTGACTTCCTTCTGACCAGCCAAGATATATTACTGGTTTTGCCTTCCTCACATCTGAAAGGGTATTAGAAGGCAAGAGAGGCTGGAAGGCTCTGCTGTTTTGTGCAGAGAGGCTGTCAGTCTGGCACACTTTTGTCCCCCTTGGTGAAAGATTGTCTTTTCACTGGTTGAATGGTTCCTCAGCCTGGCACAGGCCATAACAAATGTGTGGTCATCAACTGCTTTCCTTGCTTGTTGGTTTCAGACCTGAGCATCGATGCCATGGATGTAGCAGGAGAGCAGCAGCTGGATGTAGAGCACAATCTGTTTAAGCAACGTTTGGATAAAGCTGGCAAGCGTGTGACTCCAGAGGCGGAGAGACATGGTGAGATGCTGTTCTGCCTTGCTTGGATGGGTGCTCTCGTAGTCTTCCCATCACTGTGTGCCTGTTTGGAGAACAGGTGACAGCTGAGGAGCATTTAAATACCTCAGAGTCTTGCAGAGTTTGTAGCACACCACTCTGTTAAAGTGGCAGATCAGACAAACTCCAGTTGTACTCGCTGCTTGTGCGAGGCAAATCTGTGCCTGGTCCCTCTGAAATTACGACAAGGACTCATGGATGCATTTCAGCTGCTGAGTTAATGGTCTTTTACAATGAGAAGTCCAGCAGCTGTTCTGGCAAACCGGGGCTGTGGTTGTGTCTTTAAGTCACAGTGGGCTGACAAATGGGATGACCTGGTTGGAGGAGGGATCCTCTCTTCAGGGAAGGCTCCAGTGACTGGACACTTGAGCCTAAACTTAAGCCTAAACTTGCACCTTATTGCATTGTTCATGTTAGTGCACACCTGATAAATGTATTTTAGTTGGTTTATCAGTTAGAAGTTGTAGTATGTGGTCCCCGGTTATAGAAAACTCTTCTCTGTGTTATTTGCATATTAGGACTCACCTTTGGCCTTCAATTAAAACCAGACACAACAGTGGCCAGGTGTTGCCATCTAACAGTAATGCTGTCCAAGCGTTTCCTTTGCAAGCGTCAGCTCCTTTTGTAGGAGCTAGTGTGGTTCTGTGTAACAGCGTAAATTTGTTGATTTATGTCGCTCACTTGAGCAGGACAGGAGTACAGGATACTCTTTCTAGACCCGCCTCATCACTCTGAATCCTCTTTTGTCTTAGAGCTGGGGAAAGAAGAAGAAAAACTGTTTGATCCAAATTCATTGGATGCTGATCGCTGCGAGAGCTGTTATGGGGCAGAGTCAGAGGACATTCGGTAACGTCTACACCTTTTTGTATCCTCTAACGACTTGACTTCATGCTGTTATGTTGCATTTGTTTTCTAAATGTCTGTGAAAGTCAATGGAATTAAATCGTATTGGGCATGTGTTCAGAGAATGGTGAGAATTGTTGTGGCTTTTGTTACGCCTTTGGAAGCTGCACTCCTCCTTGTGAAGAACATGCAGAGTTATGTTGTCTAATTCTTCTACATGCCTGTTTAAGGGCAGTGCAAGCTGCCCAGACTTCGCAGTAGCACAAAACTTATATCTCAGCAAACTCTATCCTTTCTGGAGTTATTTTGTGTCCAGACGGTAGAACCAAGTAAGAAACCTGTTTTTTACTGTGACTACGGTGTTATCCAGTGGTAGAAAGGTAATGAAGAAAGTTTGCCATTAACCTTTCTGCCCATTTTGACAGTGTTAGCCTAGGAAAGAGAGCAAAGGGGGAGTAGAAGCAGGCAGATGCTTTTTTCACATGGGGAAGTGCAAACTGCTGAGAGCCATGGGACACTGATGTTTTTTTAGCACATTTCTTTGTCAAGGAGTGACTTGGCTGTCTCACTGGACAGGCAAAGCCCTCTTCAGACTCAAGCACTGCATTAAACCAGCTTGCATCCTCATGCCAACATCTCAGTACATCAAGAAGCTCGAGATCCTTTAGGAACACTGGGCACATTTCAAGATCTGGTCCCTGATGTTTCCGTTATTGCTTCGTTGAAGAAGAATCCGCCAAGGATTCAAAGTGATAAAGATGGGAAGATGGTGTTTGTGCTTTTGCAGGTGTTGTAACACTTGTGATGATGTCAGAGAAGCCTACAGGCGGCGAGGCTGGGCCTTCAAGAACCCGGATACCATAGAGCAGTGCAAGAGGGAAGGGTTTAGCCAGAAAATGCAAGAGCAGAAGAACGAGGGCTGCCAAGTGTATGGTTTCCTAGAGGTCAACAAGGTGAGACATGGGTTTTGCTGTGAACCTGCTTCATGATGGTGAAGGCTGAAAAGGCAAAGTTCCTCTCCTTCTCCAGCTGTAGGTGTTCCCAGGCCTGGAGTGTAATAACCCCGGGCTCAGCAGGTGCTTGTGCCTGTGAATGGGTTCAGTAGGAGAGTCAGGAAAGGGGCTAATCCTGTGGTTGGTTGTGTGGGCTAGTGGGAAGCATGCTGGCTGGAGAAGCTTAGCTTTTCCTACCGTCTGGCTAGTGAGTCATGTTGCTGAGGTTTCTGGGGAGGCGAGACAGCTTCTCTGAGGTTGGATGTTCCCAACTGCCCTACTAGTCTTAAAACAGAGGTCACTGGTGGATGCTGGAGATAACAGAAACCAACAACCTGCCAGCAGGGGTTTAGTTTAGTGCTTTATTTTTGCATGAAGCTTCTTATTGTGGCTGTGTACATTGGATCACTGCTGCTCCCTCTCCTCACAGTTACTCTCTCAACCCCTGTTTTGTGATACCATCTTGTTTTTCCTGCAGCAACAGTCAGTTCCCTCCCAGTAAATTCCTCCTCCTTCTAATTTTTATGTCCACCAACATAATTTGCATAATCCAGTTATTTTCAGCATCAGTATGTATTTATATTTATATAGATTCAGACCTTTTAATGAAAGATTATTTTTTCTTGCAGGTAGCTGGAAATTTTCACTTCGCACCAGGAAAGAGTTTCCAACAGTCTCATGTACATGGTGAAGTATTTTCTTTCCCTGTTTATTGGCCTTTAGCTCCAAGTGTACCTGACCTTTTTCTTTGAACGCAGAATCATAAACTGGTTGGGTTGGAAAGGACCTTAAAGATCATCTAATTCCAACCCCCCTGCCATGGGGTCACAGTATCTTTGCATTGCTCTCCATAATAGTAAAGGACTGCTTCAGTGGGGAGGATGTTGTTGAATTGTTGTAAGACAGGTTTAGAACCAGCATGGACAAATAGAAAAGTGGTTTCTGGAGGTGCTGCCACATGTGTGGGGAAGAACTTGGAGGAGAATGAGAGACTGCTCTGAAACAGTCTCATTTGTTCCATAAAACTTAGCTGCTATGCTGTAAACCAGTCTCAAAGAAGGTGTTCAGTCCAGGACCTGAGTATCAGTATCTCTGGAAGGAATATTTTGGAGAATGCTTCAGGAGAATTTTAAAGCAATTCAGAACTTTTAGAGTAAAATTTAAGTTACAAAGGACTCTTCAAGTATACATGTACATACACACACAGTGTCCAGAATAGCAGTAGCTTATATATTCATAGAATGATTTGGACTGGAAGAGTCCTTTAAAGGTCATCTAGTCCAGCCCTGCTTGAAAGGACCTGGGTCATCTTCAAGTAGGTCAGGTTGCTCACAGCCCTGTACAGCCTGGCCTTGAATGTTTCCAGGGATGGGGCATCTACCACTGTTCTGGGCAACTTGTACTAGTGTTTCATTGACCTTATTCCTTGTATCTAGTCTACCCTCTTCTAGTTTAAAAGCCATTACCTCTTGTGCTGTAGCTTCAGGCCCTATTAAAAGGTCACACCCTCTGGATGTGACCATCTAACCAGTTCCTCATCCACTGAATAGTCCACACTCCAAATTCATATCTCTCTCCAAGTTAGAAGGATGTTGCGGGGACTGTGTCAAAGGCTTTACAGTAGTCCAAATAGGCAACATCAGTAGCTCTCCCCTTTTCTGCTGATACAGTCACTCCATTGTAGAAGGTAACTAGTGTGGTCAGGCAGGGCTTGCCCTTGGTGAAGCTATGCTGGCTGTCTCAAATCACTTCCCTGTCCTTATGTGCCTTAACATAGCTTTTACGAAGATCTGATCCGTGACTTTCCCAGGCACAGTTCTGGGCCCCTCAGTTCAAGAAGGACAGGGAGCTGCTGGAGAGAGTCCAGCGCAGGGCAACCAAGATGATTAAGGGAGTGGAGCATCTCCCTTATGAGGAAAGACTGAGGGAGCTGGGTCTTTATAGTTTAGAGAAGAGGAGACTGAGGGGTGACCTTATAAGTGTCTATAAATATATAAAGGGGGAGTGTCACGAGGATGGAGCCAGGCTCTACTCAGTGGCAAACAATGATAGGACAAGGAGTAACGGGTGCAAACTGGAACACAAGAGGTTCCACTTAAACTTGAGAAGGAACTTCTTCTCAGTGAGGGTGACGGAACACTGGAACAGGCTGCCCAGGGAGGTTGTGGAGTCTCCTTCCCTGGAGACATTCAAAGCCCGCCTGGACACATTCCTGTGTAACGTTATCTAGGTGTTCCTGCTCTGGCAGGGGGATTGGACTAGATGATCTTTTGAGGTCCCTTCCAATCTCCAGCATACTGTGATACTGTGATACAGCGGTGAGGCAACTATACAAGCCAATTCCCTCAGGATACTGGGATGCAATTTGTCAGGTCCCATAGACAAAATGCAATGTTCAGGTTCCTCAGGTGGTCATGAACATGATCTTCTCTTATAGTGAGAGGAACTTTGCTCCCTTATATCCTTAGCAGGAGCTTGATAGAAAATATCTGTGGTTTAATAGAATGTTTGCAGTTACCTTAATCAGGTTTTTGAAGTGTGACATTACATTTAATGTTTTGAATGCTGAATGTCAAAAGGACCTACAGTCTTTGGATGAAGACTGGGTGCCATTTTTTAGGTCCCTTGGTATCTTCTCACTGGTAATCAAGAGCAAGTGACATAAATTCTTTTTTTCTGCAGACACTGCAGCCTCTTTCTCTGTTCCTTTTCTGGAGCCCTACTTGTTGTGGGGCTGCTACCATTGCACAGGCCTTCTACCCTCATCTGAGCTCTTCTGCCCATCAAATAGTGTGATACTCAATCCCCATCAGTCAAGGGCACTATTTTGGTGTGGAGGAGATCCAAATCCCTTGGTAGATCACCTGTGCATTATTCCTTCCACAGAGGGTGTTTGTGTGAGCTCATTCTGACTTCTGACCCAAAGTGGTGTCTGCCAGGGAATAAACCATTTTCATCCCCAAACTGGATACTGGAGGGTGAGATTCTTATTTCATCCTCAGCATTGCTCAGGACTTTTCTTTTTATGCTGGTAAGCTCCTTTAGGCGTTTCATTGTCTTGGTGCTGAAGGATGCAAAGTCTCACCCATTGCTGTGAAACTGTTTTCAGGTTACATGTTTTGGAGACCACAGATGCGATGTTTCCATTTGTCACTGCACTATAATCCACCAGAGCTCAAGTCATAGGAGTTGTTTGGAATGCCTAGCCTTTTTCAGGCAGCCATTTGGAGGCTCTCTGTATTTTTCATACTTCTCCAAACCAAAACCCATGCTGTTGTAGAAGCACCACCAGGGGTATAGCATGTGGCAAAGGGGGTTGAAATTGCTGGGTGAAGAATTCAGAGGCCCAAATGTGAGGAGGTGTAAGTCTATGACAGTTATTGGTTTGTCATGCATGGTATTGAATACACGTGAATGGTCTTCCTAAACAAACAAAAATGGAGGTTACTTCACCTCCTTTGAGCTATGCCATCCAAACATGCGCTTCCCCTGCCCTCCATCCTTCCAGGTATTTGCCTTTGTTGGGATATTGCAATGGAATGAGCAACAGCAACCTCATAGTTTGCTGCCTTGTCTGTGCATCAGGTGTGATGAAAGAAGCACAGGACTGATTGAGGACAAAAACTTGTTACCCAGCTTTGAACTTTGATGTTGTGAATCTGGAGTGCACTTCTGGATAGCTTTAATTGCTCCTAAAATGACCTTTCTGTTATCTTAAGACTGAAAAAGAATGTTAACTGTAAACAGCATTGTCCTCTGGCATGCTGCTTTGGTGCTCACTTAACATATATGGGCATCCCACTGTATTTTTCCTTTTGGTGGTTAATTCCTGCAGTTTTATTTTTCTGTCACACTATAAATGGGTGCTTGTCCCTGTATCAGTCCTTTGGCTAGCTAGGGAGTCATTTGCCTAGAAAGCACAGCAGCAAAGCTGTTACTCTTCTCCATTTTGGTACACCTTTTAAATGCTGCTCTATTTGAATCTCTGTATCATTTTATTGAAAGGATCTGAATGTTTCTCTTTTCTCTCCTACTCTGCTCATTTTTGCAGTGCACGCTGTTGAGAGTAAGTGTTGCTGTATCTTTTGTTTTTTGTCCCCTCCAAAACTTACTACAGAGCTAATGTAATTTCAGTTATTTGCTGTGCCCATGAATCTCCTTTGAGAGGAGCTATTGCTCTAGGCTGGGAGTTGAGAAGATTTCCCTCAAGCTAAAAGTAGAGGCATCCCAGGTCATCTTCTGTGGTAAATGAGGGCAGCAGGTTGAAAAGGTTGAGGATCTTTGTCTTAATCAATTTGAATATATGAGTATTGGAGATTAAGTGTTGGCAGATTAATAGTTGCTCTGTGCAGATAATGTAATTGGGGGGGACATGGTGGCAAGTGGGAGAGACTTCTGTCTTTTGAAGTCAGATGGGGTAATGATCTCACTGAATCTCATTACAGCAGACTAGAGAATTTCTCCTGGGAATTCATGCTAATCTCAGAATACTTGGTAGGAGGTTTTCCATGTGTTTGTTAGCCACTGGATTTTTTTAAGGGTAATCATTCCAGGCTGAGATGTAGCATTTCAACTCAGGAACATCTGGTAAAAGGCTCAGGCTTTTGAATTTGCTCGCTCCCTCCCCTGGCTGCAACATTTTCTGTGTTGCTGGTTGCCCCACTCCCCTCTTCGCAATGCATCGTTATGCCATGCATCCTCTTCCTGTGAGGTATTTTCCTGTAGAAAAATTAATTCCCAGTTTACAAATTGGTTTCTCAGCTCACCTTGGGGCACTGTGTTTGAGTAGCTGTGTCTTGGGTTTCTTGCAGTCTTTGTGTGTTTATTGACAAGAGTTCTGAGTGGCCTTAAGTGCTGTTAACCTGTTTTACAATTAAAGGACTGCATTTTGGAGTCTGAGGAGGCTTTGTGGTTTTTCAGCTCAGAAATGGGGGAGAACTCTTCAGACAGCAGTTCTTAAAACTTTGTTCCTAAAAGAGTGAAGAAAACTGATTTATAAAAGCCAGACAGACTTCTTGACAAACTTGAGGTGTTTTACAGGTCTCTTTATTTTGTCTAGCTAGGCACTTACCTGCAGTTACAGGAAGGAGGAAGTGTGTTTTGATGTTTCTTCAGGAATAACAGTCTCCAGTCCTAGCCTACAAGTCTCTTAAGGTTAAGACTCTTAACTTAAGTGCACTCTTAAGTGCAAACAGTACTGCAGTGTGAAGCAGGGTGTTGCAGGTAACCATTAAGAAAACCAGCACAGCATAATCCCAAGGCCACTTCTCCCTTCTTCCCTTTCCCTGCCCACCATTTCACACCTGTTTCCGTATTTTTTGTTGGAGTTTCTTTTTTAAAGCCAAATTAGTTCTTTGCTCCAGCTGCAGCTCAGGCACAGAAACCACTGTGCTCTAGTGGTAGTGGTTTGCCTGCTTGCCAGAGACAGCAACAGGACTGTCTGAAGCCACCGCAGATCTGAGCTATTTGTAATGTACAGCCATTGCCTTAATCCAAGTGATTGCAGCCTTAGTTTCTGAGCATTGAATATTTTAACTGTGACATGCAAGGGCCTCTCCCAAATCATTAGGAGAAGTATCATTCAGGCTTGGTATTTCCTAACTGTGTATTTCTGTTTTGCATTTCCTTTCGTAACTATGTATTCTCAGTTTTGCATGCATATCTCTTTGGGTTTAGTAGGGGTTTTATAGGAATAGAAGTAAAGCTTCTGGTCTTTTATTGAAAGATGTTAATGGAAAAAAGATTGAGTTGACAGCATACTTACATTAAGTGAATGTTTTAAAGGAGAGGCGAGTTCCAATCAGTTCTTTAGCTTTGTAGCCTGTCTTGTGCTAGGCTGTACATCGGAAGCCCTTTAAAGGAGCAGCACTTGGTGATCTGACTGCATCAGCTCCCAGAGTAATAGCCTATGATTTTGAAGTGTGTTTTTCTTTTCTAAGGTGCAAGGTGAGGTCTCACTTCCCAAGTGTGAATTTACCTGGTAAAATGTGCCATGGCCTCTGGCTACTTTAAGGTCATTGTGTGACTTTGGCTAAACCTGGTAGGAGCAATACCGAAATCAAGTTGTAAGTTATATTTTCACCCTGAGATTGATGCTTTTGGTGTTGCATGAAGTCAAATATAAGTAGCCAACCAAAAGATATCCATTGCCTTCCATTGCCTGTATCTTTGCTAGATCCCTTCTGGGGATGCGTGCCACTGCTGGTGTTGTCATACTGCTGTATGCAGGGCAGGCCAAATTCCACAAGCCCTAGCATCAGTGACAGTGCCCTTGGCCACACCAGTGCTTGACAAATTTCCGGTTCAGGCCATCCCCACAAAGACTTTTCCTTTCCCAGTGTGTTCTCCAGGCAGCAGTAGCAAGGCTGATAGGCAGAGTGCCTGGGAGTCCCCAAAATGGCGATGATTTCTTTAGGGCAGTTGCATCTGATGTTAAGTCTCATGCTCTGCTCAGTTGTTAGTTCAGATCTGTCACACCTCTGTGTTTTACAGTAGTGAGGAGCTATGCGTGTCAGGTGGTGACTGAGGTAAAAGTGCAGTTTTCTTGGCTTGCCCCTGAGATCTTGTTTTTGCCCTAGATTAAGAATACAGTCAGGTGAGGACTGAAATACCTAATTTGAAGTAACCCGAAATTAAAGTTCCTTTCCCTCACTGTAGCAGTGGCTAGTCTCTGTCAGGAGGGGAATTGCAGTGGTTTCATCTGTCACATGCCCTACTGCAAGCAAAGAGAAAAACCCAGGCGATTTTCTTGCTGTTTTAGATCGCGATGGACATGAGAGGAGCTCCCTTATAAGATAGAATAAGGTAAATACATCTGCTTGTTACCACAGTGTGAGCTATATTGTTACACTATTTTTCTGTTACAGTTCATGATCTGCAGAGCTTCGGACTTGATAATGTAAGTGTTGCCAAGATAGTGTTCTAGTTTTCTTCGTCTGTTTTTCTTCTGGTTTCCCCCCCCTTTGCTCCATTGAGATCATAGTGTTCTGATCCCGTCCGGATTTGGCTTTATGAGTGTCAGCAGTACCTGGGAAGGTTTCACACAGGGCTCTGAAGTACATTCTGGGACATCTGCATGTTACCTGGCAAGTCTCTTCCCCTCCACCTGAGACTGCCTTGGTCCTTAATTTGTGCTTCCTGGCTTTCTAAGGTTGACAGTTTCACAACTGTTTCTGTATCTGTTGGAGTTCATCTTGTGCTGGGAGGAAAGCAGGTGATACCCATGCCTATGCCACGAGGCAGCTGACAGCATGCTGCAACTATGGCAGGGGCAGGCAGAGGAATGGGTGGGAGAGCCTTCCCTATAGGTGGGTAGGAAGGGCATCTGCATCTGGCGATTTCCAGCAGGAAAAGGAGAAATTCCAATCTTGGAGTCTCCCATGAATAAAAAAGATTAGCAAGTGCTTTGGAATTTACTGTCTGGACACACAGAGTAAGGGAGGACCTGTCTGTTCCAGAGCCGTGCTCAGAAAAATACACAAATAATTGATTTTAGGCCCCTTACCTTGCACCTTGCATGCTGTGCAGTTGAGTTACTGGCATTTCCATTTCAGATCAATATGACGCACTATATCAAACATCTCTCCTTTGGAAGGGATTATCCAGGCATTGTGAACCCTCTGGATGGGACAGACGTCACTGCACATCAAGGTAAAAGTGAGCTGAGAGAAATCTCCTTTTAAATGGCTGTATTAATAAGGAGGAAAGTTCCCAGTCCTTAACAAGAACCTTGACACTATTGTACAAAATGTGAACTGCACCTTGTGCTCTTTCTGCCTCCATTCATCTGGAACAAATCTGCCAATGTGTTTTGATTCTGTGAGCTTTCTGAAAGATCTCTCTTTTCAGTGTTCATGGATGCCCAACAGCAGGTATAGCACATCATTATTAGATGCCTGCATCAGTCCTGTCTAGCTATGGGCAGTAGGAGATAACCATAAGATGCATAGAGAAAAAAGGCCTAATTGGTAGTTGCTGGAGAGCTGTGGTATCTGCCCTGACCTTCATCTACCCACCAGTAACAGCTGAACAGCAGCAGTGAGGTTGAAATATTGCTGATCTTTCTAGATGGCTCCAGTTTGCTGGCTGGAGAAGGAAAGGCAATTCTCTCTTCATGCTGCTGCTGCCCAAACTGTTATCTTGTTTTTTTTACAGAAGCCTGTTCATGTGCCTTTTCCACTTCATAAACCACTGCAGACATCAGTTACTTGTTTAGATCCACTGAAGTCTGCAAAATCTGTGTTTGGAGGTACTTGGGGTGCTGGTATATACTCAAATTGGAGAAAGAAGTTGTTTGCTTTAAAGCAGTGGTAGGATTGTTAATCCTCCCTGAATCCATTCCTTTAAATTTTCCACCATCAATTTTAATTCTTAAACCCAAATCAAAGGATGGTACTTAAAATAAAATACAGAAAAATGAAAAGGTGTCATAATCCTTGATACCGTTGTGGTGCCACAGGTTTTTTGTGGAGTAACAAACTCTGTGAGAGAGAACATATAGCTGGCTGGTAAAATTCTCTCTGTAGGCTGAAGCTTTCCAACCTGGGCCTCAGAGAACCTGTTGGCAAATCCTTGAGGAATTAGGACTAATTAGGAATAATTCCTTGATGTTATGACATTAAATATAAAGGATTTTGTGTGCCAGAATAAAAATTTTCAAGAAGTTGTAGTGGTAAAACAATAGCAAAGTAACTGGTTTGTAGAAAGTTTTCCATTTAGTCAAGGTCAGAATGCTTGTAGTTTTGGTTTTGGTTGGGACAGGAATGAGATTCACTTTGGCAAAAGAAAAACTCATGTCAGCCAGTAACGTTAATGTCCTTGAAAACCCCCAGGAGCTCTTGTGCGGAAGGATGTTCTGTGACGAGTTGAACGAACCCAGGTTGTGTCTACCTAAGCTGTCAGTTAAGCTTTCTGGCTCTTCCATGGTTATTAACTGTGTCTCTCTGTCTTTGCTTATAGCTTCCATGATGTTTCAGTATTTTGTCAAAGTGGTTCCCACGGTGTATATGAAAGTAGATGGTGAAGTAAGTACCTTTTTCCCTATTGTTTTGGCAAGCAACACAATCTGCTTGACTTTCTTCATATCACCACCCTTGCAAGAATAACAGTGTCTGTGGTGTAATATTACCTGTAATGTCACAGCAGTGATGAAGCATATTTCAGCCTTCTCAATCCCACCTAGTTCAAAATGATCATGTGTTTTCATCGTTCCCTCATGAATCCCATAATGTATACTTGAGAGAAGTCAAAGCAGTAAGGAAATCCTAAAAATGTTCCTTGGGGAATAACCCAAGATCAGCTTATCTCCAATTTAAAAACTCCTTTAGCCTTCAAAAGAGGGTGGGTAGATTTTCCAGCCCTGCTTTCAGGATATGTCCTTCTTTTGAAACAGGTAGGATAAAATCATTACTGAGGAGATACCAGGCTGAGGTGAAGAAACTGTGTCCTTCTGCAGCTCTGGCACTCTCCTGACTTTTTGTACTATTTCCTCACTCTTGAGTACATACGGCTTTCTCACTGAAGTGGGATCTCTTGAAACATGCTTAGGTATATATGTTAGGATGATCTGTTCTTGGGTTGAGGTTGAGAGGGACAGCTTATGCCATTACCTGACAGTCAAGTCTGGGACAAATGCATCGCTTGTCCTTTGGCTAGCTGCGGCTTTAATGACTAGCCTGTAGTAATAGACCTGATCCTGATGGTGCTGTTTAAGACCCTTTGTAGCCACTTGTCAAGGCCCCCACAAGTGAGTGGGCAGGGCTACTTTGATATGGTTCACCTATTACATGGTTTAGTAGCCTTTCCTATCCCCTGTTGACTAAACAATGTTTGCTGTGTTTGCCTCCTGCTAGGTGGTAAGGACTAACCAGTTTTCAGTTACACGGCATGAGAAAATAGCCAATGGGCTACTAGGAGACCAGGGCCTGCCTGGCGTATTTGTGCTCTATGAGCTTTCACCCATGATGGTGAAGCTGACAGAGAAACACAGGTAAGAGACATCTATTTCATTCATTCTCCATTGATTTAATCTTTTTGCATAGCTTAAAACTCCATCCTTGCTTAGACATGACCATGTAAATGCCTGGAAGCCATCCGAGCCCCTTCCCAGTCAGTGGAGAGGAAGAGGCACTCTCAAATGTCCTTCTTCTCCAGGTGAGCAGCTGGAAGGGGTAGGGGTTTTCTGATAGTATCTGAAGCATTTTAATCCAGTATCTAGATGAAGATGGAAATTGGAGCAGTGAGCAGAAGTCTGATACAGTGGTTCTTGGATCAAACTGATTTCCTCAAAGTCTTTTTTTCAGTGTGAAGGCTAGATTTGTATAGCATACCCATCTTACCAGCACCAACAACTCCAACCTGGTTACTAAGTCTGCGTTTGCTATAGCTTTTCTATGTGTCATAGTCAGTGTGGAACCTTTCTTTCCTTCAGGTCCTCCATTAATCACAGGCATGTAGTTACAGGGGAATGGAAGAATAAGAGACAGCCAATGACTGTACCTTAAAGTATATTAAGAGATGCTTAGGGATTTAGTTTGAGTTACAGAAGTCTGCTGTGCATTGTCTGGATAGGACTGGATAAAAGCTTGGGGATTAAAAGGTTTATAAATTCAGTACTTGCCTCCAAGTGTTACTGTTGAGCTCATTAGGGCACAGTGGTCTAATGCTGCCCAGTGCCACTCAGTAAAAGTATCAGTGATAAACTCCATTCTGTAGGCCATAGGGGTTATTTGTTAAATCTGTTAACTGTTATCTATTAATATCTATATAATGCATACTTATGTGCTATGATGAACATTATTGTGATTATGAATTGGTTTTTATAAGCTAATTATTACTTATTTGACAGTATCTGAGCTCCTGCTGGTTGTTCAAATTGTTTTCCTCATTCTAGGTCCTTCACACACTTTCTCACGGGAGTTTGTGCCATCGTTGGAGGCATATTTACAGGTAGGAGCTCAGGTTCCTGTCCTGTGAAAGCCACCTCAATGGATACAGGGTAGTCTGGAGTTTGTGGTGCAGGAGACCCATTCTGAGCTTTTCTGCGGTCCCAAACAAGCATTGAATTAATAGTCTCCTTCAGTGCTGGAGAGATTTGGGAGAATACGGCAGAAAGAGCTAAAGCATCAATTTATTTTGCTTTGTGTCCTTGGTGAGTAAACATTGTGGTTTCTGGTAAAGGGCATCCATCAAGGGCAGCGTCAGGTAGAGCAGCTTACTGTTCAGGTTACTGTGAAATGAGAAATGGGAACCATGCCCTTGACAAGGAGGGTCAGGGCAATGGCATTGCATAAAGCTCAGCATCAGCTTCCTCTCCAAGCTGTTCTCACTCATCAGTAAACACACGACTCGGCCTTTCTCATTTTTACCTCTGTGAGAGAGATCTGTTTTTGGAGAAGCATGATCACCTCTGTCCTGCCAGCTGGATCTTCTCTGTCCTCATGAGATGAGCACCTTATTCTGAGCAGCAACAGCTGTTTTCTATCTGGAGGAGCTGGGATTCCTTTCCACTGACAGAAGGGTTTGTGTTTGATTTCTGTGGTAGTCGTTCTCTCTTTGGGGGTTGTCTGGCTTGATCCATTTGTTTTTTCCTTTTAGTTGCAGGACTCATTGACTCCTTGATCTATCACTCAGCACGTGCCATCCAGAAGAAAATTGAACTTGGGAAGACAACATAAATAAGCAATGACCCCACAGAAAAACCTCTGAGGAGAACTAAACAGGTTTTTTGAAACACGAGTGATCTGAGTGCACAGGAGAAGAGGCTTTGAATTTCCAGATGGCCCTGACCACACTTAGGTTCCTGTCCCATCATTCTTTGTTTGGCATTAATAGGTAGATGGAACTGCTTGAACCTTGCTGCTATAAAGATTAGCCATCATGTCTGGCTGTGCAGACCCTACTGTAAAACCCCTTTTGTGTCAGTCCATGTTCATCCAGTTCCACCCTCCTTCCTGAAAGAGATGCTGGAGATACTGCATTCTGTTTGCCTCCAGGAATAATGTACTGTATTGTCATGAGACCTGGAATGGATTAAAGTTGCCACCAAATAAGCTTTCTAGCAACACCATCTAGCTTTTAAGCTTTCTTAGAAATGTTTCTGAGTGCTGATGCTGTATGCCAGCCCTCTGTGCCAATGTGCTGTATTCCTTCTAGCTGTCCTGGGGCAACATGGTGAGACATAGCACTTGGGATGTCCTTACTGTACTGTGGGGCATTGCAGTTGCTCCAGATTGCTTTTAGGAAAGATGCAAGTTGATGTTTCAGAAAAAAAACAGCTGGAGTTTTAATTGATTTTTAACTCTGTGTTTTTCACTTCCCCTCTGTTTATATTTTGAAATAAAGCCCATTCTCTGTGTGTTTTGGTAAAGCATTTGGAAGAATAATTGATTCGAACTAATGTTGGTACTATTTGAAATTTTCACTTAAAAACACACTTGTGTTGTGGCAAAGTCTGTAGTTATCATGATGGTTGGGGTTTTTGTCTTTTTAATGACTTACTTACACAAGTGAGTAAAGTGCTTGGTCTGTGAAGTTATAGTGGGATAAATTTGGAGAAATGAAATACTGTGGATTCCTGCCTCATTTTGAAGCAAACCAGAATCATTGCTCTTAAATCCCAGCTTTGTTATTAACGTGGTCCAAGCGGTTGGTGCCACAGTGCACACTGTGGTGGGCCTAGGATCAGATAACGCAAGTTAAAAGCTATTCTATAATTAATTTGAAAGTAGTTTTTGTTTTACATTTGAAACAAGGATATTTAATAAATCCATGGGGTTAGGATTATATAATATCACAGTGTGAGAAAAGGCACATGAGGAACAAAAAATGACCTGAACAGCTTCAGTCCCACAGCAAAGCACACAGCTTGGTACCTAAACCTTTTTATCAAGAGGAGGAAGATGAATGGAAATAATGCAGCAAGAGTTTAACCCACAGTTAAACAGTTACCACCTATCACTTGTCTTTCATAAGAAAACTAACTGCTTGTAAAGCTCAGGAAGATGTTGAGCACACAGCACAGCTTAGGACTGAGAGAAAACAGGGAAGGTGAGGGGTAGGTAAGTGCAAGACTTGGACTCAGTGTGGGAAACTGGGTATGGCAGAGAAGAGGAACAGAAGACACAGAAACGGAGATTAAAAAATCATTGAAGCTAATAAGTAATACAGGCTTCTGGTATTAAAGAGCTTATGTGTAGGAGAGTTTCTATTAAAATGTGGTGATTTTAATAGACTGAAAGACCAAGTGACTCATAGCTGTGGAAGAGCTGAGTTTGAGTCAAGGATGTTCATGTTTGTGATTGAATGAAGGGAAAATACATCCTGCTAACCCTGCTCTGGAGGAGAAAACCTCCACTGGGGAGCTGTCTCCAGGGTCTGCAGTCTTGTTCTGCAGATGAAGCTGAGGCAGATTGTGCTGTTTTCCCAAAGCAGTAATAGCTCAGTAATAGAGCAAATAATAATAGATTGACCTGTGTTTTCAAAATCTGTTCAAAGATCAGTTAAACTGCACTTGATTCTGCTGTCTTCAGACAGCTTGTTTGACTTCTCTTCCTTTCTTATTCTTCTTTGATTGAGCTTCAGAGTTTTTTCCTTAGTTATAAAAATATTGCCTAAAGAACAACTACGAACGTCCCCCAAAAGCTTCATCATGCAGACAGCCACCACCACTGCTGTCACCAGTGGCTTTGTGGCCACTGCAGGGGTGCGCACAGCAGCTCATAGGTTCCACATGCACTTCCAGCTTCATGTCTCTCCTTCTCTTCCAACCAGAATGGGCAGAGCTGTGTCCAGCCGTGTGCAACATCTCGTGACATGGGAGCGTGGCACCCACAGTGCCCAACTGATGGGGCCAGTGCAAGCAAGCTAAAGAGCGGGGGAAGCTGCCAGTTCCTGCACTAACAGCCTGGCTTCAGTCTTTTGGAAATGCATCATCTGTGGAATAAAATCCTGCCTTCAGCTGCCAGTCTCTCGATAAGGCTGAATTCGATGTCAGCGTCATGGACCCTTGTCCTGCGGAAGGCTCCAGACCAGCGGTTTTTCTCCCAGTAGTGGTGCCAGTTCCCTTTGGTGTCTGCTCCGAAGCCAAACACGGAGACCTGCACATGGCAGGAAGAGCTGCAGGGCCCTTGGCTGGAGCACACACACACAGAGGCAATGGTTGCCCTGCATCAGTGCCCGGCCCTGCAGGTGCACTCACACTCACCTGCTGGCAGGCATGCAGGGCGAAGAGCAGGGCTGTGAAGCCGGTGGAGGGATATCGCCCGTGGTGCTGCGTCCAGTTGTCATGGATGTACTTGAGGAAAGCTGGGCTCAGGATCAGCACCTGAGTGGGGAGTGGGGGAGTGGGGGAGCCATCAGGTGCTCATCCTGCTGTGACCCGACAGCCAGCCCCTGCCACCAGTGCGGCTCCTGCTCACTGGCTCTGCCCACATCCAGCTGAAAACCAAGCCTGGGCTTTGCCCAGGCAGCTCTGAGTGCCCCATAGGAGCTGGAGCTCTTACCTTGTTTCTGTCTGCTTTGATGAACTGTTTCACTCTCATGTATGTGCTGCAAGAGCCAGAGGACAGCAATGAGCAGGGGCACTCCTGCTGCTGGGGCCTGCTTTGGAGGCTGTCCTCCAGTGGGGACAGCCACCATCCCACCCATGCCCACAAACTGCAGTACAGAGGGATGCAAGGACTCTCACCCAGGGGCCTTTTGGTCTCACCAGGACCATGGTGCCCCACTGAGGCACCAGGGTCTCCAGGACCACCCCACACCATCCCCAGGGGCTCCAGCACAGTACGTGCTGTCCCCCAAGGCCAACGCACTGTGTGAGCTCTCCAGTGGAGAAGGTGCTGGCCACCCACTGCAGGTCCAGTGGCTTGAAGGGGATGAGGACGAGGTGGACGCCAGGCTCAAGGTCCACTGCGCTCTCTGGGTACATGAAGTGATGGGTTGTTCTCATGCCAACATCCAGCTCAAAGCCAGCAATCTTTGCCCTGTTCATCCTGGAGGACAGCAGGAAGGCACATCCTAAAGCAAAGGTGCATGCCACTCTGGTCCCAGGCTGCCAGTCCCACCAGGCAAGGACACCAGGTCACCCTGGCCAGCAGCAAAGAGGGGACATGGGTGATGCAGGATGGCTGGAGACTGGGGCATGCCGGGTCCTGGGGAGACAGGGAGAGCCCAAACCCTTCAGGTCACCCACCTCAGCACCCAGTCGTGCGCATCAATCCGCAGCCCATGGCCGGAGCCCTTCAGCCATCCGGAGTTCCCCACCACCGCACAAGTCCTGCAGTGATTCGGGTCCCACATGCTGCCGGTTGGAGCTGGGAGCACAGTGAAGAGCTGCCAAAGTATGGCCTGGAGCTGGACACCCCTTGAGGGACCCTGCAGTGTCTGCAGGGCAAAAGGCAGAGACAAGCAGCATCAGCCCCTGGCCAGTGCCCTGAAAGTGGGGGGAGCCCTGCTCCTCCCAGCAGAGCCCTGGGAAAGGCACAGAAAAACCCAATGGGATGTTAGGAAAAGGGTGCAGGACAGCTCTGAGATGGCGTGGGGGCATAGTGAATCCTTGCACCCACTGTCCCTGCTTTTAATCTTGGTCCTGCCCATCACAGGCAGACCCAGGGAGAGCCCCTATCTCCCACCTGTGCCCCTACTTACCAGCCACCACTGAACCACGTCGGAGGAGAGCTCATGGGCTGTGCCTGTCAGCAGAGGCAGCATGGTCGTGTTGTAGCGGGCATTGAACCATGTGGAGCTGTTGGTGCTGGTGGTGCAGTAGGCAGCAGGGGCGCCAAGGTGGGAAGGAGCCTGAGGGAAGGGGCTGATGCCACCCCTGGGGGCTTGGAAGCATTGCCACAGGACCAGCAGCAAGCACAGGGCCAGCACCACCTGCATGCGCCTCTGGCACAGCATCCTCACACCATCTGCAGTGAGATGTCACAGGGACCAGTGGCAGCAGCACCACTGGATGGGCCCCTTCCCACCCATCCTCCCTGCCCAGCCTCCCGGGACATCCATTGGCTGCTCACCCGTACTGCAGGAGACCTGAATTAGTCTGGTTCTCATTTCGTTTTCAAACGAACAGCTTTATTGCTGTGCTCTGCTTCTGGCACTGCCATAGTTACCTAGTCTGGGCAGGGCTGGCTGGTGGCACATACTGTACAAGGAGCTGCTCTTTGCCTGTGACACTTTTAGGGTCTGCAGATTGACCCCTGAGCAAGCAGCAAAGCAACATCACCCCTATCGCCAGCCAAAACCCTCCAGAGCAGCAGCCCTCTGCCCATGAAGCAGCTCCTCTTCTGTAAAGCCCTGCCACCTTCTCCCATGCACACCAGCACCAGGGAGCAGCTTCTGCACACAGAAGCCCCTTGGCCTCCCCACTGTGACTGCACTGGTGGCAAATCACCTCCTCCTCAGCCTGGGGATTTGCAGCTTCAAGGGCGCTGAACCATTGCCAGGAGGCAGGAGCAGGAGGTACCGAGTGTATGCATGAACCTGTCTTAAATACTGTAATTATGCGACATTTCTGTTCTCCATCTAAAAACACTTAAGTAAACCTAAAGTCAGACTGAAAAAGGTGTTCTTGTCTTCAGGGAGTTCACAAAGTGCTCAGCCTCTCAGGACCTGCCTCCTGTGGGCTAAGGAAAGCTTGAGGAGAAGGGATGTGAGAACAGCCTCCATTCTGGGGAGAGATGAAGAAGCAGGAAGGGTGTCCCCTCTCTACTGGGGAAGCTGAAGGAGAGAAACCCACTCCTGCCTTTACCCTCTGCTCCCCCCAGTTGCCTGGGTGCCGCGGGTCCTGCAGCTCAGAGGTACCTGCTTGCCGTGGCGTCCAACCAACCGCACTCAAACAGGAGCCACTGGACACACACCTGACAGCAACGCTGCTGCTCCAGGTGCCCAAGCAAGGAGCAGAAGCAGGAGATGGTGAGGAGCGGTCAGATGATCCTGGGTCACCACAGCAGGTCGTGCTGCAAGCTGCCCTTCCAAAACACACCTGAGCCGCCAGCTCTTCCTGAAGAGAAGCTCAAACAAGTTATCACCACTGCACCAGGAACACAGACACGGGTGCTCCCGAGCAGGAAGCAGCTGTGAAATGTCACCTCCTCACCCGCAGGCTTGGGGGGACCTTGAAGGCCCCAGTGCCCTCTCTGCTGGAGGCTGCATGGCCAGTGCCAGCAGCTCCATTAAGCCAGGGGACTCAGGCAGCACAGTGAATATTTCATGAAGCTCTTCACAGACACCATCCTTTGGGAGGGCAGAGCTCTGCCAGGCAGGGCTGAGCAGCCCATGTCCCTGTCTGTGCCCATGTGCAGCCCATGCTCCATGGGTGGGACCCACAGCCCCATGACAGCTGAAACACCTCTTCTCCCTGCCCCATGC